ATAAAATAAGAGCCTCTTATCTTTTCAATTTGCTAAGATATTGCTCATTTAATATATCAAACACAGTGGCACCCTGCCCGCCTCTTTCCATTTTTTTGAAATGCCCCCTTATATACACACACTTCTATATATGATATGAATAACCAATCAAAAGATCAGAATGTCTGTCTAGTGGCTTTCCCAGCCATTTTGGATGCCATCTCTTTCTTTCAAACTAAGATTTCATAGAGGTAGGTTGTGTCTTTAGTCTGTTCAAAATTTCATATTTTTTTAGAATTAAATACAGCTTAATTACTAAACTTGATAAATTACAGTAGAATTCTATGGTACTGATATAGTAACTAATGATTTTTGGTTATTCAGCTGTAGATATAAAACCTAAAAAAATAATTTTGTTTCATATTCTCCATGTGCAAAATTTTAAAAGGCTTAGCAACCTACATCAAGCAGCAACTGAGTACAAAAGTTGTAACTATAAGAGATTACTGTTTAATTTACTTCTTTATTTACTGTTCTATGTTTTAAGAAAAAGAAGTTTAAGAACTTATTTCTAAATAGCAATAATCTATATACATATATAATGTACAATAATTGAAATGTGACTGTATTTTTCAAAATACTAGTGTACTAAAACACAGCCAAGACAGGTCACTTTGTAAAGACTAAAGGTCAGTTTATATTATTGGATACTGTATCATGAGTGCATGTGCACCCCATCATTGTACCTTCAGTATTGTTAGCCATGCATGGCTGAAAGGTCAATATAATAAAAATAATAAATATAAAATAAATGTATAATGTTATGAGATTTAAGCTATTTAGTCTAAACATTTATGTTTTCGTGTTATATTCTGTAGTCATTCTAGAATGAAAAAGGCATAAATTATATTTATTTCCTAATTTTCTTAACATGGTTACGAGATTGGTCAAATTGACCAAACTCGTACAGATGACTCATTACTGAAAATAACAAATGAAATATAAAGTTTTTCTTAAGAAATGTTTGATAACTATCTGGACATTATAAAGACTTTGCATGTGAAATTTAAAAATTTTCTGATGCACAAAAGTATTTTTAATCTTAAAATGAAATGCAACATACAAAAAGAAGAAAAAAGGCATGAGAAAAAACATTGCTTTACAAACGTTAAGACTTTAATCATAAAAAGAATTTGATTTTTTGCAACTGAAA